TTTAAAATAAATATTAATTAATCATAGTCAAGAACCAATAATAATTAGATGTTATATAGAATGAATTGAATAATTTTGTGCTAAATTCTGTTGCAGTTACAGAATTTTAAACTGGTACCTTGTTTTAAGCGAAATTGGCTATATATAAAATTAAACTAGTGCAATTAGTAACAAAATTGATAAACTATCTTTCTTACCTTCATCCATTTGTCGATAGATTTGATGCATCCTCCTTCGGAATGTAGCATCTTCGAAAGCACTTCCCAGTGTTGTTGCCTTACTTTAGAGGTAAAGGTGCCGGTAAGGGTGCCTTTATTCAAATCTGGATTCTTTTCCAAGTACTCTACAATCATCGTTTGCTGGCGAATATTGATTTTTGTACGGGAAGCCATTTTTTAAAGTAAAACATATGAATTTTTAAGCTTTTAGTTCTAAGTTAATGCGATTTTAACTCGCATAGAAGTCGTTGCCAGATTAATAAATTAGAATTATAGTAATTTTCTAATTGGTCAAAGTTAGTGCCGCCTACAAACTTCAAATTCACCGGAATTGTGTGGAATGGTGATTTCGATTCCGGATTCCGATATGCTCATGTTAAGGCAAAGTCGGTTATAACAAATTGGCAATCCGATGAAAGTTAGTTTCCGAGCGGAATAAATTTCGATAAGTTGGTAATAAGGCCCCTGGACCTGATAAAATTCACAACAGCATGCTTAAACATTTAACAGAATCCCACCTCGAGAATTTATTGCAGCTATTCAATTACATCTGGACCTAAAAAGTTTTTCTTACAGCATGGCGAAAATCATGTGGTGAATCATAGTCTTTTGCTGACATACCTATTTCTATTGAAGACGATTTCTTTCAATTTTTACCGTTATTAATTTCAATGTCCCTTGAACCTGTGTCTTCCTTAGCTGTAACAATATAATCTTTTATGAATTGCATCATAACTTGTCTGACCAACAAGTGTGCTTTAGGGGATTCACTTTGAAAGCGTAAAGAAAAGGTTTCAAAGTGCTTATTAGTGGGTAAAACCTAAAGAGCATAAGGTTGTTGACTCTCTTAAATTCTCACAGATACGTTTATAAATGCTCGAAGTACTTAGTTGCATATCCAGCAATTTTTGTTAAGGCAGAAAACGTAAAAAATATTCACAGATATTTGCCCATTGCTCAACTAGCCTCTGAGCAACAGGGCCGGCTGTAAGCCTTCTGCTATTAACATGTCTCACTGAAAACAGAGTAGTTACTGTTACTTCTTCCATATGTTTAAAATCTTCCCTGCGCACAGCACTGTTCTTTAGAATAAAAATATATATCGTTGGCAAACTCGAAAGTTTATTTCTAAAGAATTAAAAAAAAAAAACTTTAAATGCATTATTTGCCACATGCAAATTGCAGGTACCAAGTGTCAATAACATATTTGGACCAATTTCTTCATCACACTTTTGTTAACATTGGGATTATCCATTGAAAGACATACTTTTTTAATGGAATCAATCTCACAAGTAGATAACACGTCCAAAAGTTCATTTGAATTAATATCGGCTGTAGCATGGCCTAAAAATACACTTTTTAAAAATCTACTTCGTACCAGATGAAACTCAGTAGACCAATATCTGGCATATACATCTAGTACATATGTACTCTCATCAAGCGCTGTTAGTTAAGTTGCATTCTCAATATCCTTCATCAAAAGATTTTCTATATTTTGATATACCATGGTTTAATACATAGGGAGTTTTTTTTTCTTTCTATTTAAGTTGTATTGCCGACGCTATGGGTGAATCTGGAATCATTACTTTGAATAAATCGACTGTATCTGTACAAAATTTAAAAGAAATATTTTTCTCAACTACATGCAAACACCATAAAGTTTCAGCTTTCAAAATTTGATTTTGCTGGTTAAGAACAGCTGTATCGCTACTTTTATTTTGAAACCAATTAAATATTGTTGTTTGACCATTTTCTTTATATCATCAACGCGCAACCTATAATTTTTGGCGATGTTGCTATCGGGGAACATTTTCTAAATGAATGTCCAGCATGATCTTATGCTCTATGATAAAAGCAGTAAAAAATGATTCGGCACAAATAACAGAAAAAATCATCCTTTTTTTTTTTCCTTTTTTTAAAAAAAAATTATCCTCTGATTTTCTTCGAGTAATCTAGAAGAATTTTGATGCTTTTCACGATTGATGTGGGCAACAATATCACCTCTTCCTCTGCTTGCAATAGATAAATCTGTTTGGTACGCAGAGCAGAATGCAAAAGTATATCATTTTCTTGAAAATCATCAGAATATTTTTTGTTAGAAGCTGACTGATATATATATATTTTTTCGTTTGTCAGGCATTTTAAACTCTTTCAAACACTTATTTAACAGTTCAAATGCGACACTTAAGGCCTGTTTACAAAATCTTTTGTTTAATTGCAAAAAGTGTTTATCATTATGTTTTTCATCTCTTTTATTTTTCTGATTAGTAATTATTAAGATCGTATTTTTCGTATTAATCATTATTAAAGGTAATTGTTGTCTGCAATACATTATTTTTCTGAAAATTAATGATATCCAACAACCAGTGCAATAAGAAATGTTGATACCATACCTGCCAACTTTTTATCCCTTCCTTTATCATTTTTCCCAGTGGTATTAAAATGAAATTAAAACTTCAATTTTAAGCAAACAAATACGTTGCATTTGAAAAAACTTAAGTTGACAGCCATGATAGTAACGCATATTAATATATTTGNTTATTTAACAGTTCAAATGCGACACTTAGGCCTGTTTACAAAATCTTTTGTTTAATTGTAAAAAGTGTTAATCATTATATGTTTTTCATTTCTTTTATTTTTCTGATTAGCAATTATTAAGATGTTTTATATATTTCTTAATATAGTTTTTTCGTATTAATCATTAATAAAGGTAATTGTTGTCTGCAATACATTCTTTTTCTGAAAATTAATAATATCCAACAACCAGTGCAATAAGAAATGTTGATATAGTATTAGGTGAAAAAAATTTTTTAGCCTGAAACCAGGACAGTATAAATTTTGACCAGCCACGCCCAAATTTTATAAATTTTTATCAAAAATTCATCCAACGGCCAACCTGTATACCTAAGTAAATAAAAAACTTTTAGATGTAAAAAAATGTTGTGTTTCTTTAAACACAAGAAATGTGAAAACTAAAATATGATTTTACAATATAAAAATAAAACATGACATGATAAGACATACCTAATATAATAACATAATAAAACATATGGAGTTATTTAATTTAGTTTGTTTTTTTATATTTTTCTGATGAATGAATTGCTTTTAACAAATTTTTGCTTTCCTGTATATTTTCATAGAATTCCATACATGTTGCATTTAAATTATTTTTGACAATCAACAAGGATTTCAAAGTTTCGACTATCAATTGGGTTTTCTCGCTAGTCCAGATGTTTAATAAAGAAAAAAACCGTTCGGACGGTGCATCAGTTCCTGGCATACAGAGGCAATACTCTACCAATTTGTCAATATTATTGGACACATAATTTTCTTTCAAGGCTTTAAAAATTTCAATCCACCTATCTGATCCCGAAACACAATTTTGTTTCCAATGCCCTAAATTCCCATCTGTGGTGTAGCGCTGAATGAAACAGATTTCAATAAAGAGCTCATCTTCAATTAAATTTATTTCTGGATAAGGTTGAATTAAATAGTCACTGCATACTTGAACCATTTGATGCGTACGTTTCATGTTTAATGTAATCCAATTAAGCTTCTCGATTCCCTCAAAATGGCCTTCCAATTCTTCCAGATACTGAAAACATGTGCCGTAAAATTCCACCACTTTTTCTTTGAAAATATCCGATTTTACTAAGCCGTCTTCTTCTAGCCTTTTTAAATTTTGTCGAACTTGCAGTGGCAGAAATACATTTGGTATCCTGTTAGCAATTTTGGTTTTAAGGTCCTTCTATCTTTAAAACCGTGTTATGAAACATTGAAGACACATTATGGAGGAACAAAAGCCAAGATTCGGTTTCAGGATTCTTAAAATAATTTTTAATAATTGTCGGAGTTTTTCCATTCGACGCAAAATACGATTTTAATGCAGGAAATATTTCCAACACGCGCTCAGTAGCTGGTCGTAACGCTAACCTCCGCGTAGCACTATAACCCAAAAGTTTTTATATTCTCTGTCTACAAAATTCTTTTAATTCACCGACGCGCACAGTATAAATGTAAAACTAAGAGTAAATCCTGGTAATTAAAGTTTGTATATCAATTGGAAGGCAGTCCGCCGCGGTTTGTATAGAATTGTTTAAAATATGCGCTGAGCAACCAATTCCCATAAGGTCCCATCCGTCCAAAGTAGCTTTTAGCTTGGTAAAAATATTATTTTTCCCGGCTCTTCGCATGCCTCCAAAGTTAGTGTTGGTGTTGTCGGCACAAAGCCCTAATATCTTCCCAACAAGCACACGACTTTTGGGCTAGTGAAGGGACATTGTCGATTCTCCATAAATGCCATTACGGCGGGCTTTTCATTGCCGTATCGGTTCCGTTAATAAAGTGAACTTGGCCAAAATAAAAAAAAAAATTAATCATTTACAGTGCATAAAAATCACACAACAGTTTAATTTGGTATACGATATTTTTTTTTGTCAATAACTTTTTTTATTTTGATAAACCTTGTTTTGGTTTTTGAATTATAAAATTATTTTATGTAATATTCATACTAATTTCTTTGTTAAATAATATTAGTTTACTTCAATATTGTAATATAAAAATGAAAATTTTTACGATGTATTTAACTTTATTGATTACATCATTGATTAAAAGCAATCAAATCGAAAAAATTAAAAAGAAAAAAAGTATGTTAAAGTATAATGCTAAGGAATGAATTACAAATATTGAATAATTATTTCCTTCTTTGTAATCATATTGTCATAATTTTATAGGACAAGTAATTTATACTCCTTTTTCATATAGAAATGTGATTGCAAAATATGAAAAAACAGAAATTTTTTTATTATTATTGCTACAAAATATTTGCTTCTGCTAATTGTATCGACCTCTTCATTCTTCTGGATCTTCCACCATCACGATCGCCCGCCGATCTTAGCCATCTTTTTACTACATCCTCCACAACATTTTGTTGAGTTTTTTCAAAGAACTTGTTGCTCCTTAGAGATCCTGTAGAAACAATTGAGCTTATTAATGGATTTTCATTTAAAATATTATTAATTATCTTCATAATTTCAAAAATTTTATTTTACGGAAAAAAAAACATACTAGGCAACTTGCGTTGTAACTGCTGCACGCTGTTTATTTTTATTTCAAGATTTAAAAATTAACTCATAAAGTTAGTAATAAAACACTGTTTATTTTTTTCAAAATACCTCATCTAATTTTAAATGAAGCAATGATGCCCCCTTTTCTTTTAAAATGAGTTTTTCATTAATATACATATTACGAAATTTTCAATTTGCTTCCTTAAAAGTTAATATGTGCTTTTCTGTACCTAAAATTAGCTTTAAAATAGAGGGAAACTCCTGTATGGACCTTTTACGTCCTCCAACACAGTTCATTTCAGTGGCCAGTTTATTTGAGATGATTCTAGTAAGTATTTTTTCTGACTCCATCAGTGGGATCCTTCCCTCCTAGCAATCCAAAAGAGAAAACCTAAAAAACCACAATAACATCAATTAAGTTCTTTTTTTTTTTAATATATTGCTCTCTTTTACCTAAGCCATTGTAACAAAAATATTAGAATTTTCAATACTATTGATAATAAATTTCACAGAATAAAAAATTTGTCAAAACAAAATTTAATGTAGAAAATAAGAGATGAGTTAATAATGAGTTACCTTAATATCTCAAAATACGGATACTTTTTAAAACATTAATTTAAATGTTTCCTGAAGTAATGAAAAGGTAAATGGCCACTGAAACTGTTTATTCATATACTATTTATATTAAATCAGAAAGCACTTTACCTTAAAAATATAAATTTCATTATAAAAATGTTATTACTAACTATACTTAATTTCTAGACTTAATTATAACTGGATCTTCTGTTAACCCTTTGACTAAATATTATTTAAAATACTTTTTTTCTATTTTTTATTATTTTGTATTAATTAAGTCAAAATAAGTGAAAATTCTACATTTAGCCTTTTAATATTTGATGGATATAAAATACATCATTAGACACTGGTATCTTTTTCTGTGTTAAGGCAAAGTTTTAAAAACACGGTTCCCTTTCATACAATAACTTTCAAATTTCAGTGATTTAGATCTTAGAAAAACCATTATTCCTCATTGAAATTTCGTCAATTTACAAAAAATCAAACTACTTTTTGTTGATTTTATATTTCAATATAAATACAATTTCTATAATCTTACAAATTTTTCTTAGTAACTATTTTGACTATAGTTTATAATTAAAAAATACCGAAATACGAAATATATTTTTGCTCGTAATTACAGTGTCAGGAAGAGAAATAAATGAATATGGTAGGGACACACACACTAGTGCCGGGTATAGTAGGGACACACACATTACTTGTATTATAGGGTTAAAAAAAAAAATTTCAATGATGAGAGAATTCATACTGTGGCTGAGAAAAACTCCTCACTCAGTAACTTCTCATTTAGAGTTTTTAAGTCATCTACACTGGCTGCAGGCTCATCTTAATCACTGACTGTTGCTTGGTGGGGAAACATTTTTTGTATAACTAGAAAATTGTTATCATATTTTTGGTGCAGTCGAGCAGTAGATTCCAGCAGCTTCTTCAGTATCTCTATAAAATATAAGAAAATAATATTTAGCTCTTACTTCTGAAATTTTCTCTGCCATCTCCGCCAACTTGTCTAGAGATTCGGAACTTATTGACAAAATGGCTTGAATTTCTGAGGGCAGTCGCTGGAGCCAAAGAGTTTTTAAGAAAATCATCAGTAATGGATCTTCCACCTAATTCCCTCATTTTACGCAGCAGATGGGAAGGTTTATCGTCTCCTAAATGCATCTCTGAAATAAGCCGAAATATTTGTTCGTTCGTTTAATCTGAAAATTCTGCGATTAATCGTTTTTTAAGTGTATTGTACTTGTTGTTGGCAGGAGGTTCCAATAAAATATCCGATACCGCGGCTAAGGTTTCTGGGTCGATTGCAGCAATTAAGTGGTTGTACTTTGTAACATCTTTAGTTATTTTCGCGAGCTCAAAATTGCTTTCTACTTGAATGAACCATATTTTGATTCTGGTTTTCCATAGCGAGGGAAGTTTCACTGACACGTGGGATACCTGAGATTCTACGGCTACAGCATTATCGGTCTCGGGCATATGGATTAAATTTGTTAAAAGAAATACGATAAGGGAATCCTAACAAATGCACTATCAATAATACAATAATAAAATATGTCAGTAATACGACAATAAGGTGAAAATAACTTTAAAATAATATTTAAAAATAGTAAAATTTAACTAAATAACTTTTAGAATATTTTAAAGAAACAAATGACCAATCACAGAGTTCTAAAAAAAGTTTGATCACATACCTTGATTTTGCTGAGTTGAAACCACGTGGAAATCCAATTGGAGAAAAAAAATTAGCAAAATAAATTCGCGAAATATTAAAAATTTTGAATAGCAATTATAAGAAAAAAATTACATGGCTGGTCTTTGCATATTTTAGGAGATTAAAATAGATTAAGTTCGTTAAGCCGGGTCACCAGTTCAGTACGCGTGGTTAGGCCACATGCACTGAGATAAATTAAAGTAAAATAATTTACGTTTTTTTGCTAAAAAGAAAAGAAGTAATTAATTAATAAATAAAACATTGTAAAATTAAAATGCCAGCCATAAAATAACAATTAACAACATTTAATAAAAAAATAAGAAGATTAAATAAATGCTACATAAAAAGCCAGGCCGAAAATGCCAGGAGAAGAAAATACTACACATGCACTACGATGGAGGAAAAACAGTCACTGTACTGCAGGGAGAGAAAAAACTGTTCTGCTTGGGTTGTCATAACTAATAGAGGAACTCGCCAAATGGAAGAGCGGGTTCCCAGAAAATGTTCGTTAATCGTTACACTGGCGCAGGTCGCTGCAAGTTCTTATAAACTAGCAGCTTTGATATTCACTTCGAACATTCTATATTAATTTTTTAAAAAAACTTGAATTAAATATAAATGATAAAAAAAGGGAGTATTTTCATGATGGTTTGTAAACTTAAACTACTGATACAAAAGAAAAAATTATTTTTTACTCATATAGTTTTTTTTTTTCCTATAGTACCACTCAGTTATTTTAAAAGTATAATATACTGGATATACTTGTTACTGTTAAGTAAACTTTAAAATCAAATGAAACGCATATCTATGTAAAGTAAGGAAATTAACTCAAATCGCAAGATATTTTAGTTGGAAAGTTTCTTAAAAAATGTTTAGAAAAAAAGTTATAAATTATAGGGATATTACCTTTAATCTCTACACACGTATCGCATTTTCCAAAAGAAACTCTTGATGTGGTTGTGCCTTGGAGTCATATCATTTCCACTGTTAATTCCAAATTCATCCTCCGTGTTTGCATCCACATGCTGCATACTCACATCAGTATCTGCAGACAACTCCCCAACATCGCTATAAATTAAACTTGAAAACTTATTTTAAATGCATGCCATGGAAATCCATTTCCCTTAGTTATTGCTCTAAAATTAAATTCATACTTGCGTTTGTCTCTATTCTGTTGTATTTTTTGAAGGATTAAAAGTGGTTGTGGGTTAAAAGTCAGTGAAATGAAAGAAGTAAATTAAAATGCAAAATCTATGCTATATATAATACGTAAATTTTACATATATATCTTTCTCTTACTTAAACAAAAATATATATATAATTTGGCAGAAAACGTTTAGTTATTTTATTACATGCAAATTTTCTAGAATTTATTCTAATTAGAAGTGAGTGATAACCTCATAGAGTTATCAAATAAATCATTAATTGAAATATTAATAATTATCGTACGAGTTTGGAAGACAATGTTAATTTTAAATATCTTCCAATTAGGCTGTGGGTCCACTCTCCCTGTTATAGCTATTTTGAGTTTCGAAGAATCTTTGTAAAGAGGCCATAAGGTAACATAGTTGCCATTTACATAGGAAATCCATTTATTCACCACTATAGCTAAGCAATCCTTGTCGTCTGGAAAGTTTACCACACTATAGTGTTTTACTTGGAGTAAACTGTAATATAGTTAGCAATTAACTTTTTAAAAACGAAAATCCCTCAGGGGGTTTACCTTCTTTAGGTAAACACAGAGAGTCACGCCCCGGGGTACCCTAGTGATCTGTCCTCCATTTTGTTTCCTCTCCCTTATCTCCTACTTTCTCTTCCCCCTTGTCGTGGTTGCCTAATTTACTAGTAAGGGCTTTTTGTCTGTGTTCGATTACCACCCTGTTGTATCGAACCCAGATGGGAAGAGACTACCCGCGTGGAGACCCGTGTCCCTGGAAAAGGGGATCCTGGCAGTTGAGTGGCATCCTGGTACCCCAATACACTGCTTCGGCCCGTGCTTCAGGTAAACGGGAGGTGCATAGTGGCCTGTATGCATCAACCGAGCTGTATTTAACTTATATGGGCCATTGACTTGAGAAAAATGCTTCCCAAAGATTCCGACAGACTCTCCAGAATAATTTGGATTTAAACTTTTCAATGAAACTTAAAAGAAGCGGAAGAAGATGTTGTTGTCAATTTATGAACTTTTTTTTCTAAAAGCTTTTTACAAACTTTCTGCAGTGGCAAGTTTTTCTTTTTTATTTTACGTTTCAAGGTGCTCATATAATTTTCAAATTCAAATGCAATAAATGAGTCTAGCGCACCAAACTTTTCAACATCATCACAAAGGTGTATTAATGCATGCACATTATACACCATTTGATCAGACCCATAAAGCTTAGAAAATTGGCGTACAAAAGATTTCAACAGTTGTGAATCTCTCGCCAATAAGTCTCCACATAAGCAGGAAGAAGAAAGTATGAATATTGCGCAAAAGAATTTCAAAAAATGGTGATATTGTGTTTGTAAAAGCACAGACTTCAAACACACTGGTCCTATGTAAAGCAAAAACTGTCCGAACTCCGTTGCTTTCCAATTATCTACATCTTTTAAAGAGCGGCGCTTTCTATTAAAATCTGTTGGTCAAATTTTTCGAAGTTTATCCAAATAGACATTTACAGAAGAAATGTGGGACCTAGATATTTGCCCAACATGTTATTTGGAGTTTTTTCTGAGCCATGTAGTCTTGTGGAAACAAGGATACCATGCCAATGTCTAGTTCAATTAAAGGACTTTAACATTTGTGGTGGTGACTGTCCTCCATGTTCTTAAAAGAACTGTTCGTGCGAAGGACCTTGTCTATGGAGGGAAATGTGACTCGACCTTCCCATTGCTCGATCGTTTTTGGACGCAACGATCACAGCCATTAAATGGCTTAATACATTTAATAAATGCTTTTGCTGGCGCATCACATATGAAGCATTTTAGTTTCACACTGATTTGCTTATTGTTTTTTTTAAAACCAGAACAGAGTAAAGGCTTCATTTCTTCCACAAATTGCAGTAAATATTCCTCAACTGGTGGCTTTGTATGGCGTTTTTGAAACATCTTCTTCAATCATGCAAAGAATTGGCCAGAATTGAATATTATTGCTTTTATATAACGGAAGACCGTCGAAATTGAAAGATAATGTTAAAATATCGATGCAATTGTTTTCATCAATTTTATTCAATATCACATATTCATCAATTGTTCAATCAATATATTTCATCAATTTTTTTCAATATCACATCAATTTTTTTCAATATATTTTTCTATACCGAAATAAAAAAAACAAACCATTTCCCATAGTCTGTATGCCTAGTTTTCTTAGAGTTTTTAAAAGTGTTCTAGCATCACTTGGCAATTCTGGATGCATTGGTTTTAGCAATTTTAATAAATCCGTGAAGCTTTTTATAGTTGTTCTGGGATTTTCATCAAACCACGTCAGGAGCTTCTTTCCAACATCAACGAATTCTGCATCAGAGTCTTTTGATTCCTTAGTTTTTTCCAAAAATTCCATGCTATTCTCTTCTTCAAAGTTCGTTGCTGAGGATTCTGAGTCGCTTTTTGACGATTCGTCATCATCGTCAGTAGACTTGTAATCGGTCTCTGAGGATTCTGACTTTTTTTCCAGGCAAGGTACTGAAGAAAAATTATTACTTTCTTCGTGGATCTCTAGACTTGAAATGTCTAATCTCAGTCTTTTCTGCTTGGAAATTATGCTTAAATTAACGTCATCCAATTGTACTTTCAGAGCTTTTTTTACGTCGCGCCAGGTGGTGCTACAGACAAAATATATTAAAAAATGAGACCATTGGAAATATTTTGCTTAGCAGGAAAACAGACTTATTTAAATAAGATTGGAAGATAATATATAATGTATTTGAGTAGCAAATACAGTGAAATTAATAAAACTATAAATAGAAATAGAAATATATATTATTATTTTTAGTTTTAAAGCTAGCTAAAGATACTTTAAGGCAACAAGAAATGTATTTTATTTTGATAAAATAATAGAAACAACTAACTTTCTTTTATCACTAAGTGTTATTGAATGATTGTATCCCTGTGATTTTGCTACATCACACGTGCACAAGTTGTAGGTGCGGTATGGCCAAAAGTGGCTTTTGCGCCATTAATTCTAAACAAACAAACATCACACGTGCGTCGATGCTCAACTCCTCAATAGTTGGAGGGATTTAATTTGATTAAGAGCTATAGGATCTGTAACAGAATTGTAGGTCTTTGATACTAATGTGTTGATTCTGTGGCCAAAATTTTTAATGCTTTCACCCGGCAACAACTGGATATTATTAAGAGCCAATAGACTAGTTGAAGGATCATCCTCATTTGAAAAAAAAAGATTTTAATAGGGCTATTGCAAACTTAACACATTTAAATTCTGGGGATGTTTGAAAATAATTTCTGGCATAGCCAGTAAGCTTTGATTTTAAAAACAACAAAGCAACATCATCCGACCAACTATTAAGTTCTCTTAGATCATTTACTTGTTCAAGAAACCATTCTGGAGATTCGTCTTTGCTAATGTTTACCTTTTCAGCCATTTCGTAATTTTTACCTCTAGTAATAAGATTTGTGACCTCTGTCATATATATTGAATCATAATCATCAAATAAGCAATATTTAAACAATACATATTACAAGAAAAACAGCACCAAAAATATATCGTATTGTTACGATTTAAATAGTTGGGAATAAAATAAATAATTACAATTTTTAAATTAAAGTATTAACATCATAGGAGGAAGCATTTAAGGCTCTAATGGCAGTGTATAACATAAATGAGTGAAAACATAAAATGTGATCGTAATATTTAAAAAAACAGTGCTCAAATGAATTTACCTGATCCTTCGTTCCAGAAGGATCTCCAGGCTCAGGTGGTCAGATGCTGTATGACGGATATGAATGATTGAAAAGAGTTCGTTTCAGGAAATGTTAAAAACTTTACTTCTCATCATGGGTTCAGGGATGCAGGTGGTGTTGAAACATAAGGGATCTCCTGGGTAAAATCACAAATTTTATGTAGAAAAAACTTTCCTTTCGAAAGAAGATGAATTCCAGTTCTTAGAAAATCAAATCTGAATTGTGCTGCATGCACAGACAGCATGGCTATAGAAATCACGCCAAATCATTGGCGACAAGAACACGTGCCAAGCCTCATCTTTATATTAATGGAATGTGGTAGTGTCTTGAAATTAATTTATTAGATTTTAACGCAATGAGTCTCCATAATTATTTCTTGTAAAAAAGGGGCAATCGCTGAGCAGGAAGGCAAGCGCCTTGAAGTTCTTAAAAAATGACAGCGATGCTTCTCTCTCACGGTGGCTTCCTCGACTGACGCCAAGAACGCACGCGGAAAGGAGCAAAGCGCTAGTCGGTTAAAGTTAAGGTGGGAATCATCGATATTGAAAAGTCAGTCGATCAATTTAATGTATCCGACTGGGTACGACACAATTTTTTTTAAAAAATAACTTAATTACTATTTTAACTTTATTTTTTGGAAGAATATGTTAAATATGGTCATATTTGAACAAATTTATAACATAATTTTCATTGCACGCTAACAACTCTACAGTAAGTTGTAATACATATATTGGAATAAAAAAAATTTCCTAGCTTTATAATATAGTTATCTATGTTCTAAACTAAAATCTTTAAAAAAATTTAAATATAAAGTGAGCTAGGGCTAAATATGTGATATATCATTAAATTTCTTTAAAAAAAAAATCAATAATTATTTAATTAAAGTTTCACAAAAGCAGTAAATTCACACATAGACATTAAATTTTAGTTCAAAACACAAATAATATAACAAATTCTGAATGCCAAGTTTCAAACAATTCTATTGAAAACTTTTTTTATAAATAGTGTTAGCGTTAAGAGATTTTCATAGAAACGACTTTTATCAGAAAATTCATTTAAAATGTGAATTTGTTAAAAATTACTGGAAATGCTTATTACTGGCTGTGGATATTATATAATTTTTTAAGTTTCCTACTTGTGGATAGAGTAAGTGTATCAAAGATTTATTGCCTAGTATTTTCTTTGTGGCATTTTATTAAATGTCTACACTGCAATTTATAAATATGTAAAACAGCATTATAAAGAGATATTCCTTATAAGATGAGTATATTCACAGTTAGAAAGTAGTTTTTAACTCCAAACAATAATAATATTGCTTGGAATAAAATCTCAATCAATTTATTCAATACCTACTGTTTTTACAATAAGTGTCAAAGCAAAAAAAATTAAAAATTACACTTGAAATATAACATGGAAAAAAAACTACAGAATTTTACAATTAAATCCCCCCATATTTATAGGTGATACCTTCTTTAAGTTCATTTTTTGTAGCACAAATTTTTCGACTTGCACGTCTTTTGTTGCGGGCTAATTTAGTAGCAGGTTCAAAATGACGTTGAGCATCTTTTATCCTCATTTTGTCGAAATTGAAAAAGTTTCTCTTCATATTTTGAGCACACAACTTTTCAAGAAGGGGGGAAAACCCTGCATATCCCGAATTGAATATCAAAGTGGCAAG